AAGTTGCTGTTTTAATCGAAAAATCATGATTTCATTTTTTTTCTCTCATTATACACAGTGTGCTGCAGGATCTGTTTTATGTGGTGCACACATACCACATAGATGTATTCTCTCATATTTAGGCCCAAATGTACCACTCACAGTTTATCAGAGTGAGCTGAGCTCATGGCGTAGATCTATGGTTTGGACCCTGAACATAAAGCCGTAGATCTACGGGACGGACCCTGAAAGGGTTAAATAGAAATCATACTGAGTCCAAGAACAATGCACAATGTTATTTATATTACCATTTTCATAACTAAACTAATCATTATGTTTTGCATGATATATGGCCTACCACCATAGATAAGGACATGAGAATTAAAGAATGCAGGGACAATTTTCAGTTTTACCCAACCAACGATTTTCTGATGTGGCTTATGTGTTTCTGGGGAAATATGTAGTAAATTAATTGATGTTCTACATCACTTCCGTTGCAACTTGAAAACTAAGCATTTGCGACGGAAGTGATGTAGAAGATCAATCAATTGAGATCTGTTATTGAAATGATAAAGACTTAAAGACAGGACAAAGTGCTTTTAAAACCTACAAACGGAAGTCAGTTTGCGTTTTTAGGTTTTTCTTTATAGTATTTTTACCAAAAATGCGTCTTTACTGGTCCATGTGTCTTTACTGGTCAAGTAACCCTATCAGGTACCTCCCTTAACATTTACAGGCGAAAACAAACATTTATCCATACACATCAATGTCTATCAACAACACTTCAGTTAATTTGTCACAGTACAAGTCTAGATAACATGTAATTACTACAGAAAATTGGAGAGGAATCTCCCATACTCACCCATTAGCAGGAAAAGACAGCTGTTCTGATGTAAACAAAGGCGTGTTGAGTGTTGCCATCTATGGTTAGGTTTATTTATTTTTATTTTATTTCATTGTTTATTTTTGTTTTGATTAATTTTTAAAAATCAATTTTACTCTCCAAACACTTGAACTTTTTAGGTAGGGACCCCTTTGCACTTGCACCATGTGCGCAGTTTTGGATGAGCCCCTGAACCCCTTGGACTGCGGGGCCCCCAAATGCACGGGGCCCTAGGCAAATGCCTAGTTTGCCTATGCAGTAATCTGGCCCTGCTCAGAACCACATGGTCACTGGCCTCGAGGAGTCTTTCATATGTGATGTCCTCAATATCTGCACTACTCAAGATGAATACTAGGTCCAGTCTTGCTGGTTCATCCTCTCCTCTCTCTCTGGTAGTGTCCTTTACATGTTGATCAATGAGATTTTCCAGTACCACCTCTAACATCTTGGCCCTCCACGTTTCTGGGCCCCCATGTGGCTCCAGGTTCTCCCAGTTGATTTCCTTGTGATTGAGTCACCCATAATCAGCAGCTTTGCCCTGCTCACATGAGCCCTTCTGGCCGCTTCAGCCAGTGTATCAACCATTGCTCTATTACTCTTATCAGACTCTTGCCTTGGCCTCCTCCTGTTCTGTGGTGGGTTATACATCACTGCAGTTACCACCTTGGTACCTCCAGACTGAAGTGTTCCTATTATGCAGTCTCTTGCTTCTCCTGTCTCCTCTCTCCAGCTCATCAAAATCCCATTGGTTTTTGAGCAGTGCCACTCCACCACCCCCTCTGTTCCCTCTGCCTTTCCTCAGGATCACATGTCCCATTGGATAGATGGTATCTGTTATCATTCCTGTGAGCTTGGTTTCTGTGAGAGCTATGATGTCCAGTGATGCCTCTGTAGCCTCTCTGACTCTTTCAGGCCACTCTTCTCACTTATTCATTATTCCATCAGTGTTGGTGTACCATACCTTCAGTTTCCTCTCCAAAACTGTGTTCTGGGGGGTCTTTGAGGGTGAAGGACCTAGCAGTGTGCTGTGGGATTCTACAGTGTAGTGTGGGGTGGGGGCTGTAAGTGTGAATTGTGGTTTGTGTTGGGATAGCGTGTTTAGTTGTGAGGTTCTGGGGGCGGTTCTTTGTGTGCTTGTGCTTGTTGTTCTGCCCTGCTCTGGTTGTCTTCTGCTGACTCTGTCCTCGTCTCTCTTCCTAGCCCCTTTCATTTCTGTGTCCTCTCCCTTATCTGCTGTCATTCTGTTCTTGTTTTGTCTTGGTCTAGGCGCAACCTCTTGTATGTTGATGATTCCTTAAGCCTTGTTTTCTCTTGCAGGATCCTGTTCTGCATTGTTTCTGTTTTGAAAATCAGTTTGACCGGCCAAGTTCTCCCCTTAAAGTATCCTCCCAATTCTCTGAAAATTTACTATCTCAGTCATGTCCTTCTCGCCTATTTCTCTGATGATGTTTTCAATCTACTGTTTTTTTTTTCTGCCGTCTTTCATTGTGTGTCCTCCCCTCGCTCTCCTGAAGCCCATGAATAAACACTGACTTTTCTCTCTCCTCCTCCCATTGCCTTTCCCTCTGTGTCTCTAGATCCTGTTTGTACATGGCCATTGTCTTCCTTATTTTTTCCTGTATCTCTTGGTGGCATGGTCGTGTCTCTGCATGTGTAAGTAAGTAAGTTTATTCAGGTATACACAAATACAGTTACATAGAATTATCATACATAGCAGCATATGTGTAGAGAACCTAGGATAACCCAAAAAAATCAGACAGAGTGACTTATTTCCATTGGGGTCCTTTTACCTTATTATTATAATATAAAGGTTATAATATTTTCTTATTATTCTACAATGAAGATAACATCTTATTATCATACTAAAAAGACTATCTACTACACGAGGGTCATTAAGACTATCTACAATACGAGGGTCATTACTAGGAATAAGGTAAAATTTACACGTATGTTAGCTAAAAAATAGAAAATCATTCCCCTCCCTTTCTGTAGCTACATTCATCAGACACCTTTTGGCACTCTTCTTGAACTGGTTCATGCTATGACTGGCTTTGACATGTGCGGGTAGTCTGTTCCATTCCTTTATTGCTGTACAATAAAAGGTGTTTGACGCCTGGCCAATGACTGTGGGTACTTCAAAGTTGTGCTCCCTCCCCCAAGTACTATTATTGCTTTGGTTCCCAACCTTGACAAAATTGACAGTAAGATATTCTGGACACTGTTTGTGAGCAATTTTATAAACATGATTTAGCTTCAGTTGTTTTACTCTGTCTTCAACATTCAGCATATCCAACTGCTGTAATTCATCCTGGCCTACATGTTCTCTTGGTCCCAGCCCCAGGATGAATCTTACGATTTTGTTTTGGGTGATTTGCAGTCTATCTTTCAGTTTTTTTGTCAAGGCAGAGTACCAAGAAGAGCATGCGTAATCCATATGGCATTGTATAAGGGCTAGACATAGGGTCCTGCGAGCCTCAGTAGGTAGACACTGTGCTTGTCTATACAGGAACTTCAGTCTGGCATTCGCTTTCTTTACTACACTGTTCCCTATCAATTCTCCTGACATGCATGGGTCAAAGGGGATTCCCAGATATTTTACTGATGAAACCAAAGTGATGGGCTCCCCATTACACTGAACATTAAAATTATTTACCCTTCTCAGTTTATGTTTCGTGCCAAAGAGAATGGCTTCAGTTTTCCCTAGGTGTAATAATAGTTTGTTGTCTACTAACCATTTGCTGCAGGACTCCAGTTCCAGTGTTAAAACATTAGCAATATCTTGTGGGTCTTTACCTGACACTAACAGAGCACTGTCATCTGCATACAGTAGGAGTTTTCACTTGACACTGATAGGCATATCATTGACATAACATAAGAATAATAAGGGACCCAGAATACTACCTTGGGGGAACTCCACATGTTATCGGCAGGGGTTCTGATTCCGTTTTGTTGATTTTGACTATTTGTCTCCTGTTGCTAAGGTAGGACTTAAACCAGTCTACAGAACATATACCGATAGCTTGAAGTGTGTGTGCTCATGTGTGTGTGTGTGTGTGACCCAATTAATATTTGCACTAATAACTCATTGCAGTTGTGACCGGGTATGGACGTGTGGATGGCTTGTTACTTTGTAATTTGTTCATGATTGTAACCATGTATAGATATGTAGATGATTCATCACCTTTGTAACCTGTTCAGCTTCAAAACTTTACAGTCCAGTCCCTGGACTCATTATGTACCTCTGTAATCTTTTGACTACCACCTACAGGATGTGTATGGGGTGCATAATAGAGATATTAAACTAACTAGCTCCTATGTGCCGGTTATTTGTGTATTGTTTCAGTTACAGCATTGTGCCTTCTTTACCTTCAAAATACACAAATAACTTGTACAAAAGAGATTGCATATCATTTTATGTATATTGCACCCTGATTGTACACACAATTTCTTCAGCAAGACTTAGGTGGCAAAAAAGATTTAATTTAAATGTACGTACATTAGCACAAATCATACTAAAACACTACTGGAACTTTAAATAATTTTTGTATTGATTTAATGCATGTAATACAGGAGATTTTAAAGAAATGACACAGTGATAATTGGGTTTTTCTTTCTTTTTGGGTCACCCTGCCTTGGTGGGAAACGGCCAACTTGTTAAAAAAAAAAAAGAAGAAAATGTACATAGGAGTTCTGTGTAAATTACTAAACTAAGTAAACTAAAAACAAATACAAAGCTCATAATTCATCATTTGAATTTTTAGTTATTAGGGACAAAGAGGTAGAATGTTTTAGGCACTTATAAAAATATACATGTGTATTTGACATGTGGTAAGGTGCAGTTACTGGAAATGTTTTTTTTTTTCCCAGGTCTAATCAATTTTTTTTTTTTTTTCCATTTAATTTGATTTGAGGTACAGTAATATAAATATTTTAAGGTTATGGGTAGTTTAAGTAGGGTACACATTTCTTTCATTAAGACTTAACATTTGTCCATGTTAAACAGCATCTGATACTTTCTCAGTAATAACATAAACCTGTCCAAATCATCCTGAAGCCCCATAGGTTCAACCTCAGAATTTAAAGAGTAATGTAAATCAGTTAAGAAATACTGTATATACAGTATGTACCACTTTGGCAGGTTGTCTAAGGCTGTGGAGGTGGAAGTTGTGGTTGTAGGTGGTGGTGTTGCTGGCCTCACTGCAGTCAAAACTCTACTTGAAAATGAAGTAAATGATGTCATTGTGCTTGAAGCCCAGGACAGACTTGGGGGCCGAATACGCACCATCAGGCAAGGTGAGTAGACATGCATGGATGGCCTTTAGAATGTAGAGTACATATATGGGAGCCAAGAGTGTGTACTGAGCAGTTAAGCAAATTAGAATGCTTGTGTTTGCGAATCAAATTATTTGCACATACAGGTGAATATGAACACTCAAGATGGAATGTGTGAGACGTCAGTGACCATTGAACTAAGTGGACTGATAAAGGACATGTACAATGCAGAGTTGCCTTCAATAAAAACTGTAGTCATAGAGTTTCATTTTTATCATAAATAAGAAACTTAGTGTTACTTCGTACTGCAATTACAATCCTACTGTACAGTGGTCCCCTCTTCAAGGGGGGCTCCTTGATGTAGTGAAGAGGCTCTTGGTCTAAGGAATTAAACTCTTTGGTCTCCTTACTCAGACTGAACCTAAGTACCCCAATCCTCTTTTCCCTATCCCATCCTCCCCATTCCCTCCCTTTATTTTCCCCCTTTCCTCCCTCCTCCCAACCCTCCCCTTTCCCAGTCCCATTTGTAGTCTCTGGGGTCCTTCCCTCTGACATTACGGTTTCTAGGTAGGGGAAAGTGTGCTGAGGTTCATCCCATTCTGTGGGGTCCCTCAGGGGTGGTGTAGTTTGCAGTGGAATCTGAATTGTCTGGAGGTGCCCTGCTCCCTTCCTGGATTTTCGAGAAGTGGGCGGGGTGTCCTGCAGATGATGGGTGTATCTCCAGAGGCTGCCTATCGGTTCTGGGAGGTGGCAGCCAAAGGAGGTATGCTTTGTGATGGGTTTCCGACCACCCTCTCTTTTGCCTGTCGAGGTGGCTTGGTAGATGTGAGGTTGCTATCCCGGAGTGCTGGTTTACTGGCGTGACGGGTAGGGTATGGCACGGGTTCCATGCTGCATCTGCACTGTTTGTGGTTTGGAGATCCTCTTGGATGAGAGGAAGAACTTACAGCCCTTTCATGCCTTCTAGTGACTGTCCCTCTTGTTTTTTTTTCTTAAAATAATAATAAGAAAAAAGTCCCATCATCATGGAGTCTTCATTCTGTGATAACCCTCCTCCTTCCAGGCCCCTTCTTGTTACCACATCTTGTTCTGACCCAGCTTCTTTATTGGGCCATACTCTAGGCTCTTCACATACCCCTGTACCTTCTGCTGGTGACACTTTGTCACCTGTTCCAGGTGCTGGGGCTCCGCTCATTTCTGTTAGTGCCTCTACCTCTTGCATGCCTCTAACTATGCATCCAGCTTCCCTGAATATGGTGCGATTGTTTTTAAATTGCCCACCTGCGTCAGGTCAGGCCACCCGCAGTACTATGCCTAAATGTTCCAGACTATTTACTGACGACGGTTCTTCAATGTCTGCTTATTCTACCCAAAAATGACCTATGCGACAACCACTTCCTTTACACACCATATATATAAGTACGCAGTGGACGAAATTCTTTTCCCTGCAACTGACATCTCCAACTGATTTTCTTTCTGACCATAGTACAGTGGACCCCCGCATAACGATGGCATCGCATAGCGATTTTTCCGCATAACGATTACTTTTATCGCAAAATTTTTGCCGCGCATACCGATTAAAAACCCGCATACCGATTTTCGTCCGAGACGCGTCCAATGTGCCCTCAGCCAGCCTCACATGTGCCGCTCCGTCCCATTGTTTACCAGCCAGCCTCCGCGGTAACATCCAAGCATACACTCGGAATATTTCGTATTATTACAGTATTTTCGGTGCTGTTTCTGGAAAATAAGTGACCATGGGCCCCAAGAAAGCTTCTAGTGCCAACCCTACACCTCAAAGGGTAAGAATTACTATAGAGATGAAGAAAGAGATAATTGATAAGTATGAAAGTGGAGTGCGTATAGCCGACCTAGTCAAGCTGTACAAGAAACCCCAATCAACCATCGCTACTATTGTGGGCACCAGAAAGACAATCAAGGAAGCTGTTCTTGCCAAAGGTTCAACTGTGTTTTCGAAACAAAGATCGCAATTGATGGAAGATGTTGAGAGACTCTTATTGGTGTGGATAAATGAAAAACAGATAGCAGGAGATAGCGTCTCTCAAGCGATCATATGTGAAAAGGCTAGGAAGTTGCATGAGGATTTAATTAAAAAATGCCTGCAACTAGTGATGATGTGAGTGAATTTAAGGCCAGCAAAGGTTGGTTTGAGAGATTTAAGAAGCGTAGTGGCATCCATAGTGTGATAAGGCATGGTGAGGCTGCCAGTTCGGACCACAAAGCGGCTGAAAAATATGTGCAGGAATTCAAGGAGTACATAGAAACTGAAGGACTGAAACCTGAACAAGTGTTTAATTGTGATGAAACAGGCCTGTTCTGGAAGAAAATGCCAAGCAGGACCTAACATTACTCAGGAGGAAAAGGCACTCCAGGACATAAGCCTATGAAAGACAGGCTTACTTTGTTGATGTGTGCCAATGCTACTGGTGATTGCAAAGTGAAGCCTTTATTAGTGTATCACTCTGAAACTCCAGAGCGTTTCAGGCAAAAGAATGTCCTCAAGGATAATTTGTGTGTGCTGTGGAGGGCAAACAGTAAGGCATGGGTCACTAGGGAATTTTTCTATAACTGGTTACACCATGCATTTGCCCCCAATGTGAAAAATTACCTAACTGAAAAGAAATTAGAACTTAAGTGCCTCCTGGTGTTAGACAATGCCCCTGGTCATCCTACAGACGTGGCAGAGCGACTTTATGGGGACATGAGCTTCATTAAGGTGAAGTTTTTGCCTCCTAATACCACTCCTCTCCTGCAGCCCATGGACCAGCAGGTTATTTCCAACTTCAAGAAACTGTACACAAAAGCTCTGTTTGAAAGGTGCTTTGTAATGACCTCAGAAACTCAACTGACTCTAAGAGAGTTTTGGAGAGATCACTTTAATATCCTCAATTGTGTAAACCTTATAGGTAAGGCTTGGGAGGAAGTGACAAAGAGGACCTTGAACTCTGCTTGGAAGAAACTGTGGCCAGAATGTGTAGACAAAAGGGATTTTGAAGGGTTTGAGGCTAACCCTGAGAATCCTGTGCCAGTTGAGGAATCCATTGTGGCATTGGGAAAGTCCTTGGGGTTGGAGGTTAGTGGGGAGGATGTGGAAGAGTTGGTGGAGGAGGACAATGAAGAACTAACCACTGATGAGCTGATAGATCAACTTCAACAGCAAGAGGCCAGACCTGAGGAAACTGGTTCAGAGGAGGGGAGAGAGAAATTGAAGAAGTTGCCTACTACAAAGATAAAGGAAATCTGTGCTAAGTGGCTTGAAGTGCAAACCTTCATGGATGAAAATCACCCTCACACAGCTATTGCAAGCCGTGCTGGTGATTATTACACTGACAATGTTGTGAAACACTTTAGGCAAGTCATAAAGGAACGAGAGGTACAGGCCACTATGGACAGATATCTTGTGCGAAAGAAGTCCAGTGACTCTGAAGCTGGCCCTAGTGGCATTAAAAGAAGAAGGGAAGTAACCCCAGAAAAGGACTTACTACCTCAAGTCCTAATGGAAGGGGATTCCCCTTCTAAACACTAACACACTCTCTCCCCTCCTCCCATCCCATCAATCATCACCAGATCTTCAATAAAAGTAAGTGTCATTTAATTGTGCATGCCTTTTTCAGTTTGTGTGTATTAAAATTAACATTTCATGTGGTAAAAAAAATTTTTTTTCATACTTTTGGGCGTCTTGCACGGATTAATTTTATTTCCATTATTTCTTATGGGGAAAATTCATTCGCATAACGATTATTTCGCATAACGATGAGCCCTCTTGCACGGATTAAAATCGTTAACCGGGGGTCCACTGTATTAGTAAGGCTCTTTTATGACATGCTGGCCAAAATATATCCTTTCACGGTCTTTGAAGCGGTGTGCGTATCGTTACAGATCAGAATGCAGAACGAGCTCTTGATCTTTCCCATATTACTTCATAGATAACATTCCAATCACAGTTCACTAGTACGCTGCTCTCAATTCTTGCAGTGGTATGGTGGTTTTACCACGTACCACTGTACAAAGTGATTTTCTATCTTGAGGTGATGATATTTTAGAACAGTTAGCCCTTCAGGGCCTTCCTATTCTCAGAGTGGATACATATGTCCTACCTGCTCGTGGGTGGAGGCGCTTTCCCAGTAACATCGCCCACTTAACCTTTGACTGCCGTGAACTCCCATCCTCTGTTTATATCATGGGCCATCACCTAGAGGTCCATAAAGTGGTCCCTACTCCCCAACAGTGTCAAAATTGCTGGCGCTTTGGATACCCCACTAAGTACTGCAGATCTGTAGTGGAGTGCCCGGTCTGCTGTGCCGCAGATCATACCGATACATCTTACAGTCTTCCCCCCACTTGTCTCACTTGCAATGAACCTCAGCCTTCTTTTTCCCACCGTTGTCGGGTCTATTGTAATGAACGAGAAATCCGTTGTCTTAGGGAGAGCGAAGGCCTTACTTATGCTATGGCTGTCTCTCGGCTCCGCCTGCAGGGGATTCTTCCTCATATCCCTTATTCGTGAGTAGCTAGCGGACCTCCAACCTTGGCAGTCCCCCTGCTTACCAGTTCCTCTGGTGTTGTGTCTTCCAAGGTCACCCCATCTCTAATTGTTTTGTAGTTTTACCCTCTGAAACCCCCACCTTCTTACCTACTTCTACGTCTACTTCTCGCCCACTAGTTTCTCCGTCTGCAAGGCCTTGCATGCTTACATATTCTTCGCACCTATCACCTGCGAAGCTGAACCTGTCTTATAAACCCAAGTCTCTTCGCATTCCTCCAGTACTTACAATTCCTCAACAGTTTTCTTTTTCAGCCTCAGTGCCTCGTTCTAACCTCCTTTCTGACTTACACAGAGGTGGAGGTTCATCCTCTCTCGTGTAGTCCCCTCTACTCCTGTTCTTCCCCAGTCTTCTTCCCCAGTTACCTTCCAACCTCCTTCCTCTCCAGTTCCACCGCAGAACTCTTCTGCCCCTGCCAGCGCATCTCTCGAAGTTCATACTCCCCTCCCCTCTCAC